AGCCCCCCCCATGGTTCTTATATAATCTCTGTTCGTTCAGTTGACATAGTTATTTATCCTTGTCCTCTTCTTTAGTAATGATGATATAAAATACATATCTTGAAAAATCTCTCTTAAAATCTATTGCCTAAGGGTGTCTGTACATGAGCTCAGAGGCTGCTCCGACATGCTGTAATTACAATGCAGACTATTAATTGAGTCTGCCAAAGCATGGTAATTACCACTCTCCAGCAGCCTCTCATATCTTGTGTATCAGCGTCCCAGCACTTCAAAATGGGACAAGCTTTAGTTCAAGTGCCCCCACTGCCATTTTGAAGCGTGAGGGCACTGATACTCAAAAAACTATGGCGCTTTAATTAGAGCAGTTCTTAGAGCCAGTCTAATTAAAGCACCACCCCTCCTGCCCCTGGAGCACATGTAAAAGTGCCCTAAGAGACTAACATAATACTAACGATTATTTAAGGACTTGAGCTAAAATGTGAAGTTAGACAAGAGACTCCCATATTTTCTTTTTATATGCTTGAACAGATTATTTTTAAGAGGTATTCAGAATTATACCAGCTCACCTGACATGGTAATCTGTTGCTGGCCTAAGGTCCTTCAGGTTATATTCCAACTCTTCTCCACTGCAGAAAGAAATCATCAATAAATCATGAAAATCAGAACCATACTTAGTACAAGCTATTGAATTTATGGTAATTGGGAACTGAACCTTAGTCACTTCCATACTAGCTTTGTTATTTTACTCTCATTATTGGAAATTACCTACGGTACTTAAAAATGCTTAATAATCAAGCTGGGGTGACGAATATTATATCAAAAGATTCTAACAATTGTGTGTGGACTGTTGCATCTTGCACTGATATTTCGTTTGGGCTCTCATTTCAGCTTCTCTTGCCAATATATGCCCAACTTTAGGACCATAACAGGGTCTTGCTACTAAGAACATCATCATCCTAACAGCATCAGCGCAGCAGCAAAACTCCAACCGATTCCAGCCTCAGATGCTGAAATATTAATTTTTAAAAAAATCCTGCAAGTTAACTAATACATCCAGGGCCATGTTTACTAGAGGTGCACTGATATATAGGTTCATATCGGATCAGCACTGATAAAAGGAAAATTTACATCATCAGCAATTGGCTTTTTTTGCTCAGCATAACCGATAATATCACTGATAAATGCTGTGTGCAGCCACAACATGCACGCAGCCAGGAATGCAGTCTTGTAGCTTGGAGAGGAGCATCTGGTGTGTGAGCCTGTTGGGGCAGGGGGGCAGGGAGGGAACACGATGACAACAACTCACTCTTGCCCCACGCACAAATCCAGGGGCCACATGGCCCTCATGCCTCTCCTGGGGGTGCATGCAGTGGTGGGAGCTGCCCCTTCCCCACTCTCCTATGCCCCCCCAGATGAGCTGCCTGTGGCTGTCCCATGCCTCACCCTACCCCAGCTGGGCAGTGCCTGCCCATGCTCCACTCCCTCCCTCACTGTGGGAGCCTTCATCACCCATGCCCCACACTCCTCCCTACCCCATGCCCCTTCCCCCCACAGATCTACCAGCGGGATGCTGGTCTCCAAGCTACTGGGGTGCATATTGGCTATTGGATTGGCATCAGCTGGTACGGCTAGTTAATAAATCAGCAAAAAAAATCTTTATTAGTGCACCCCTAATCTTTACAGTTTATGGAGTCACAAGTGGTAGGGACTATAACAGACAAGTTTGGCCATGCACAGCTTGCCCTTCTGGTCACCTGCTCCATAAGGATGACTGGACCTGCTGGGAGATTGCAGAGACTATGAAGATTTCATCTATTGCAAGACAGGACAACTTTTTTAAAAATCAAGACACAAAGAGAAATGCATGCAAAAGGTAGGTTGTTACCTGTAAATTATCTTGTATTTTCCATCCCTCCCTTTATCTGATAAGGCAACTTCGTAAGTACAGGTGTAAGGCAAGCCATTATTGTGTCTATCTGCATTTAAAAGGCCAGTAGGAGGGGACCATGTGAGTAAAACAGTTCTTGCTTGAATATTTGTAACCTATAAAAGAAATAACAATTACTGGGAATTCTCTCATTAGTATACAAAATATATTTGCTCTTTACAAAGAAAATTACTTTTAAATACCAAGAGTTAATCATGAAAGCTAAATCTCTATCCTGAACAAGAAGCTGACTAAGAAACAGGAACAAAGATCCAGATAGTTTATGACAGATGCAGACAGCATAGATTAACTCACAAAGTGGCCATATAAGCCTTCTATACAAGGATGTTTTTGTTCTCTAGTGGCCAATGGATGCAGCTCTATTAGACTAGAGACAGAAATTACACAGAAACCAATATAAGCGATCAGAATCCAGTTCAAGTCCATAACACAACAGAAGTTCAGTGCACATAAGCCACTTTCAACATGGCTGAAACTGGTTTAAGATAAATCCGGATGGATGTAGTATCA